TACTTGTTGTTGATGTAATTTGTTGTGTTTTATGTATGTTTAATGTATGTTTTGTATGTAGAATGTATGTCCTACTCTCGTGTGCCCTTGAATAGGGCGGGTTGAGATACGAATAAACAATACCAATACTTGATGTCAAAGCTTCATACTTGCTGTAGTTTGTGTGCTTAAGATTTTAAACTATTATTAAATTCAGTATATAAATAACCTTAACTATATCGCAGACCCCTTTTGAAAATAGTTAAATTTTAAATCAGAGTACTTCTTCGTGGGCAAATCCGTGAGTAACAGATGATAATACATTTATTAACTATAACAAACTTTAGATAAAAGAGGCTCCGGAGATTGTTTTTAAAAAAGCAAACACAATGCGGTAATATCTTATAGATTAAGAGAATAATGAAACTTATCACTCTAAGTGTTCATCTTAAAGTGTCTACTTTGTTAAGAGAGGTTTGAGCAGATTATGAGAGGGTCAAGTAGTCAGAGAAAGATGAGATCATGTAGACGCCTGCCAAAGGAATGTTATTAGAGAATTCTTTTATTATGTTATAATATATGAATTTGAAGTTTTTATATGAATTGAATTGTTATAATACATTGAATTATCCTTTTTAACTCAAAATCGTTTTGTTAAATGTTTCTATCTTTAAGATGGAAAAAATTTTAGTTATAATTTGGTTCATAATAATAATTCCTTTTAATAAGCAATATCCTTTAAATCACATTAAATAATGAAAAATAAAGAAACGCATGTATAACACTGCCGCAAAAATTGAGTAAATAAAAAATGAAACAATTAATTTTGAGTATTTTCTTTATTATCTTTCCCGCTTATATGGTTTTCATCTGTTTTACCAGTTAATGTACGAATAAAAAACTTAAAATTGTTGAGACACTAAAAGCTGAAATTTAGATATTTTATTATTTTAATTTGCAAAGTTGTTTACTTAGACGTTGCACAGTGTTCTATCTAAAATGAATTCTTGCTTTCTATATGAATAGTGGAAAATGTTCCACTTACCTTTAGACCGCCAATTTGATTATATACATAAACCTTTATTGGTTTTAATTACAAATAGATGAAGATGAATTTAGATTAAATGGTAAATGGTGATTATAAAGTGATGAAAATATTGAATTAGGTATTAGCGCTGCATGGCGCGTCTCTAGTTACATTACATCTACTGTTTTTAGTTTTTTTAAAAATAAAAAGTTAATACTTCTGATGCGCCCGCGGTGCCATCTGGGGATAGTTTTCTGGGATGGGGGCTCGTTACATCCTCCCACCTTGAGTTTTGGACGACGAATGTCATGACGAAACTCAATTAGCCTAAGCCACATGAAGGGACAAAACTGTGTTGGTACTATTACTGTTTTCAGGATCACGAGTTTTACCCATAATTGTCCAATCTAATCGCGTTTCGAATGCAATTAAATTTTCTGAAGTCGATTTAATAATACCTGTGAAAAGTTTACCGCAAACGTCGGCTCCTATAAGTAAATCAATTTCCTTAGTATCTGAATTCGACCCTTCCATGTTTTTATAATCGCAAAATTTAATTCCTATCTTATTTGCTTCTTTTATCCACGAGACGTCTCATATTTTAGGAATTTCTGCACAAATTTTTTCCTGATCATAAACTTCAAAGTTACAAAAATAATCCCGATTTAAATCGCTCAAAAACATTCTGTATTTATAATGCTGATTAGTTCTTTGCAATCCACCGAAAAGACTATGGTTTAAGTTTTCTTGCCCTATTGGTTTGTAACCTATTTTATTTATTGTTTCTTTTAAAAGATACGACTTTTGGGACCCCTGGTCTATCAATCCGCGTATAACTATTTCTATTTGTCCGTTTATTAAGCGAATTGTTAACGTTTGCATTAATACTTCCGGATTACAAGTTTCATTCGATAAAACCGTTCTTTCCACTTTACTATAACTTTTCTTTTCCGGACACATAAATGTATAATGACGTCTAAAACAAATATCGCATCTTACAAAACTCCTGCATTTTTTAGCCGTATGGCCAAAGCGAAAACAAATTAAGCAACTACCGCTCCTCTTTAAAATATCCCATTTCTCATTTATTTCTTTCAGTTTAAATTCATTATAATCCCATAAATTATGTCTATCGTTACCGCAAGAAATACATTGATTTTTCTTATTACACGATTCATTCAATAAACCTGACGCCGTTGATATGCGATTCTTATTTTGCTTATTCGAATTCTCGCCTCCACTGCTACGCTTTGAGGAGAGGAAGGGGGAGCATACTGAAACTCGTGTTTTATAGACAAACTCAAGGCCGTGGCTTTTTCTCGGCTAATTACTTCTGTTTTTAAAATTTCTGGATCTCTGATACTTTCCACTCGTCATCATTGCTATATTTTTTAGTTATTTCTAACACTATATCTGAGGGAAGTAATTTAATAGTATAGGACAGAGTAAAGCCCCGTAATTTTCCTGATTAATTCCCAAAGATTCTAAATATCTTATTTCAGTTTGACAAGAATCAAAAAGTTTTCTTAATGAAAAAATATCTGTTGATTTTTCTACTGGGGTTAAACTCAACAATTTATTCAAATGAGAGTTAATTATCAACGTTTTCTTGCCAAAGCGTTCTTTTAATGTTTCAATTGCTGATACATAATTATTATTTGTTAAACTGAATCCTTCAATCGCATCTAAAGCTGATCCTACTACATATGTTTTCAAGTAATTAAACTTTTCAACATTCGACAAATCAGTGCTTTTGTCTATGGCAGATTCGAACTGATCGTAAAATCTTTGCCAGTCTGAAGGATGGTCAGAAAATTTCTCTATAGTTAAAAGAGGCAGTTTCACAGAAGAAGTTTCATTTATTCTTATATTAGTATTTATCTTCGGTTCGGAAATGTTCGAATTTAACGCAGGAGACACTACCGAAGTCAACAGTTTTTCTATTTTTCTTTTCAATCTGCTTTTACTTCGTACAATATTTGTCAAACACTCATCACACTTTATAATTTCTGTATCGATTTCATTTACATCCGTAATACCCATCAGAATTTCGAGATCAATTTCTTTCAATTGTTCTTGTTTTAACATTAATTCAGACATTAACTCATCCAATTCATCCATTGTTACCTTATCATCTTGATATATGTTTTCGATTTTGGTTAATAACTTAGTTGTTAATGACCTTATCGTAGTACGTTTTTGTTTGGATTTTTTCTTCTTAATATATAAACGAGCTACTTATACACTTAAAGTCACTATTCTATGAAACTAAATTTCTAATCGAAAATAAACAAGAAATCTCTTAATGGAGGTCCCTGTTCGGGAGCCAGAAAATGTTCAAACTAAAATGATCTCTTGCTTTCTATATGAATAGCGGAAAATGTTCCACTTACCTTTAGACCTTACCTTTACAATTTGATTATTCATAAACCTTTATTGGTTTTAATTACAAATAGATGAAGATGAATTTACATGAAATGGTAAATGATGATTATAAAGTGATGAAAATATTGAGTTAGGTATTAGCGCTGCATGGCGCGTCTCTAGTTACGTTACATCTACTGTTTTTAGTTTTTAAAAATAAAAAGTTAATACTTCTGATGCGCTAGCGGCGCCATCAGGGGATAGTTTTCTGGGATGAGGGGGTTTGACATCTGGGGATGAGGGCTCGTTACACATAGCTATAGAACTATTTTTAAAACAGAGTACCGTACAAAGATAGATTAAACAAATCAGTGTGCAATAAGCGAGCGGAAAGCTTATAAGAGAGAAAACAACTCCTAGAGTTTATCGGCCTCCTGATCAATTTTTAATTTCTATATAGGGTAAACTAACCAGTGAAGGAACACTTAAGCTTCGCTTGCCTTTTAAAAAATCACATTTATTTCAAAATTCGTAATTTTAGTTAAATGACAGTGTCAACATATTTGTTACTAATTGCAAATTATGCAAAAAAATTTTAGAGAACTTACATAATATTGTTTTAAAGTTTTGGAGGTTCAAATAACAAGTAGTCAGAAGATCAAGTGAAGGAACAGCTCTTACAAGTGAATGAACACCCAGTAAAGAAACACTTAATTTTGGTTATTTTTTAATGCTCTTTATGAATTTATAAGCCATACATAATAATATATAAGCCTATTCTTGAAATTGTAACACATAAATGCTTGGAAAATGTTAACTTTTTTTTGTAATCATGAATTGAAAATTATAGTGTCAACATATTAACACATACTGTTCATTCACTGGGAAATCTATGCCCAGTAAAGGAAGTTCCCTCATTGGTTAGAAGTTGTTTTTCGTATTTTTAACATACTTTTGATGCGGAACATCACTAAAGGTACAAGAAAATTAAAGTTTATCTTTTATTTTCATTAACTTAGAAAAAAAACCTGTAAAGGAACACTTGTTCCTTCACTGGTTTTTCATCGTTTGGTGATCCAGTGAATAAACACCCCCTTATCTCAGTACTTTATTATGCTATGATGCTTAAAAAAAATAAAACGTAACTTCAATAACTATATTTTGAATTCTCTTTTTCACAGTGAGAAAAATAAAACTATTACATGCAATTAATTCCACTTCAAACATATAAATACAAACACTCACCTTATAATTTTTTCAAAGAAACAAGGTGTTGCAGAGATAATAACAAATTCAAAAATTTTTCCAGAGAAGTCTATTTGACCAGGTAATCCAAAACATTGCTAGATGACTTCCTATTGTTTGGCAGTAAGCTATTGTTACCAATCAATCTAAAGAAAAACTTTCAAATTCTTATTTTTAATGAATATATATGAAATGTTCCTTCACTGGGTAGTGTTCCTTCACTGGTTGGTTTACCCTATATTGTTTTAATATTTGCCTATCCATATCTGACATTAAAATAACTGCTAACTTTATTTGATATGAAGTAAGAAAAAAATAATTATCAATATACAAAAATGAGTATATATTTTTAATTTTGCTTAATTTTTTTCCTTTTCAATTTTAGGATTCTCGCTTCAACAAAGATATAGACACACGAACAGGTTACCGCACGATAAGCGTCATGTGTCAACCCATTCTTAATTTCCAAGGGGACGTTATTGGAGTTGCACAATGTATAAATAAAGTCACAGGTGATCATCAATTTACAGATCAAGATGAAGAGGTGAGTGTTTAACCTATGATTTCCAACATTTGATTTCTACGTTAAATTGAATATACTCACCTTAGAGCAGGGATGGTGAACCAATGGCACGCGTGCCATTTATGGCACGCGACACAATATTCTGAGCACGCCACCAATCACAAAGTTCACTATGAAGCATATTAGCAATCTATATATATATAAATATTTCTCTTACACGGCGACAAAAAAAGCCTCATTACAACTCCCCGAATGGCAACGCTAGAAAGTCGACCAATGATTGCCGTTAAAAATGTGTGTATGCCAAATCTAGCTGAGGTGGCTCAACATATAGCGCTTTTAAAAACGGAAACTGAAATAACCAGAACCAAGTGTGATCTACTGATGACAACCTTAGCAATATGGAAATGAATGGGGGAAAACTGGATCCTACCACGTGATTTTCCGGCCAATAAAAATGCGCCGACAACAATGGAAAACGGTGTCAGACCATTATGATTTTATGTTATATAGAGAAACGTTTTCCTATAAAACTAATTTTGTTTTTTAAAAAAAGGTTTTTATATGGATTTGAATGATTGTTTTGAATTCTTGGAATTTTGTGCATTTGCAATGTGCCTAAGTTAGAAGCAAGTGCAGGGAGCTTTGTTTGCGAAGCAAACCATATAAGATTGAGTAGCAATTTTTGGGGGTTGGCGAGCGTTAGCGGGCAGGGGGCGCAGCCGAATAGTTAAATTAAAATTCACAAAAACAAAAACAAAAAAAAACCAATTAACAATTTAATGATAAAAAAACAATAACTCAATAAACTCAATAAACAAGCTAACAATAAATAACTAGCAAAAAAACATTAACAGTTCTGCTTAAACTAGCATCTTACAACCAAATATAAGTCATTTGTCTTCTAATCTGCAACAACAGAAGTCACACTAATGTTACTTCAGGTTGAATTACACGCATAACTGAGACATTACAAAATGTTTTTTTTTCATAGTAAATAAAGAGTTTTGAGTTGATAGAATTCAGTATTATTATTTTCCCAATAATCAAGAAATCAAAATTATTTGACGGCACGTCTATGACCTCATTAAACAATTCTTTGAAAAAATGGCACTTTGGTGCATAAAGCTTCGTCACCCCTGCCTTAGAGGATGAAATACATGTTACTCGACGACTATGAAACACTTAAAAGAACTTTTTTTCATGGCATAGTTTTAATTCTTTTGTGTCTCGCATTGCTTATACCACTATTAAAATTACTTAGTGTAGCCATTTAACTCGACACATTATGATCATTTCTGGATTTTATTTTATAAGAGAATAGCTAGGTAAGCGAGGTAAAATCATCAAGATATGGAGGAAACCCAAGTGGCCAAACTCCTATTTTTGATATAAGATTCAACTTTTATTCGAAATTTGTCATAGAAAAAAAAAAACCATTAAAATGAGAAGCTTCATTAAGAAACTTTAAAAAATAATTTAAGAGTTCAATTTGATATATTTGTCGAATCAACATTCTGAATAAGGTGAAAGTTCTAGAAAATTATATTGTTCAGGAATCATATAATCTATTATTATTCTTTTAATGTAGGAGACCATTTTTATTCGGGGTGAAGTTGAATCAAATTAAAACTTTGCATCTATTTTTATTTAATGCGTATTAAAAATATTATGAGAATTAATGTTCCTTGTTCTGAATTTATTTTTATTGTGAATTCTAAAATTTGTGCATTCAAAATATATCATTTTATAAAACATTTTCTTTCTTTAAGTAACAGAAAAAAAATACAAACACTCTGTATTAAATTAATATGACTCAAATATTTATCGCAGAAAAGATTGATGATACAAGAACCAGAACCAGTTGAGATCGGTACAGAAATAACATTAGCTACTCTTCATTTTATCCAAACATTTATCGTAATTTCTGAATAAACGTTCGTTTTGCTTCCTTTTTTGCACACTTTAGCTATAATTATCCTGATGTATAAGATAATAACAGTCATTAATGATCAATATACATCTACTCATCAGTAAAATACCAACGCATACTTTGTATGGATAGATTTGATTAATAGTTTTGTTTTTCTTCAAATCTTAATTAGTCAACGTTCAATATTTATTTTCGTAGAGATGCTTAGCCACTGTCACCAATAGTTCAAAAACATTCTTCCCTTTTTACTTTTTATAATCTGATTGATATTCTTTAAGTAAATTTGAAGTTTATTTTAAATGTTTCAAAAAAAATTTGTTTCGTTCGAGATGTTTAGCCATATGCAACAATAATGAACAGAAATACATCAGGCACTGTTTACAGTATGATTTGTTAATCTTTATGTAGATAAATTTGGATCTTATTTTAATGCTTTAAAAAAATTGTAATTTCCACCAATATCCGTTCTCATTTTAGATATTTAGATCCGCCAGTTTTCAGAAATTCAGCTGACACTTATGTCAATATAATTGATGATGTATAATGAAATTTGAAGCTAAAATTAATTTTTTGAAAAAAAATGTAGTTTCCTCGATAAATCTAGTTTCATTAGAGATATTTAGCCCCACACTATAACCCTTCGGAGTAAACCTTTCGACACTTTTTGCGATTGTATTGTAAAATTGTTGAATGTAAAATTGTAAAATGTATTTTCAAATTTTAAGCTTATTTCAATGTTTTAAAAAATGTAGTTTCCTCGATAAATCTAGTTTCATGGTCGTTGATGGAAGTTGGTAGTTCTTAGAGGCTACCTATATTGACTTCAAAATTGTTATCGAAGGTACATGATTTTTCGCAAGCGATTTTAATTTCAATCAGAGTCATTTTCTTTGTGCGGAAATGCCACTTCTGTTGGCGTCATGAAAATACGGATCGATTAATAAAATTCAGCGTCTGTAAAAATGATCCCAAGAGATATATAAGAAAACAAATTTACCAATTATGAATGATAGAATTATATTTAAAGAAACAATTATGGTTTTTGTTTCAGTTTGTATTTAATTTTATATCATAAAAAATGGTTAGTTTTAAAAGGTTAGAAGAGGTTTGTTTATTTGAGATGCATTGTTTTTTTTAAAAATAACTTTTGTTTTGAATTTAACTTTCAACTCTACGAGTAAATCATTGATAGCATCGTCTTTGGTGCACTCTGACTACAACATGAGGCTGTATCGTCAACAAAAGCTCTCTTTGCCTGACACAAATATTTTGAATGCATTTTAATCTACTTATCTGTTTTGTCAAGTTTACTGTAATGATATTTTTTCGTGTTTCTTTATTTGACCTTTATTGAATTTGGTGCAGATGTTTTCCCGGTCGCTGGGAGAGGTTTTAATGGTCTTTCCTAAAGTTTTTTTTTCAACACAAAGTCCATGAAAAAAATTCTGGGCCTCCCAAAAGTGGTCGTAAATGGAGGTGGTCCTTCCTGGAAGTTATACTATATAACTAAATTTAAAGCTTATTTTGATGTTTTGAAAAAAATTAGATTCACTCAAAAATTTTAGTGTCATTAGCATTTTAAACTAACGAAAATTGTTTTCGTTTCCAAATGAAAATAGAGATAATAAATTATCTTTGCAACTGGTCGGTATCTTCTTATCCCCTTATATTTAAAAAGTGTGCATAACTAAAATGCCTTTATTACTTGATTTGCTCAACTTTCAACTTGGAAAGCACTTTAAGAGTCCTGGAGTTAATGTGCCAAAATATAAATGAAAATGGAATTGTATAACACCTAGACTTTTACTGTCATATATTGATATTTAATGTATTGTGGTATAAAAGAAAGTTATGAAACAAAATATCATCCTTAAGATAAGTCATAAACTGAAAACAAGGAGTACATTTCAATCTATAAAAACAGATGTAAATGAATATTAAGTGATTGCCTTTTTATTTACTTTGTATGTGTAAGCAGCTTGTTTTGATGATTCTCAATAAAATTGTTATTTGTTTATTCAGTATGCCAGTATGCATTAGTTTAGAAAGTTTTAAGTTGTACTTGTACCAATTGATTTAAGTTTATACTAATTGATTGAATGATATAGACCAATTCAAAGAAAATAAGGTTATTTTGTGTTGTAATTAGACTTTATTAAAATGGAAGTAAAAATAAAATAGTTTAAACAATAGACAGTTACGTCGGTACTATAATACTAAGTGCGATTATTAGTAACTTGAGGAATTAATAAGAGACTTGTCGTTTTATTATGAAACGTTTCAAGTTTGTTTTGTAAAGTGTCATTTAATAATATTAAATAGATATACAAGTAGGTTTGCTACAATTTTCGATTAAAACTTTTAAATTATATTGCTCGAGTATAAAGCTTGTGCATTTTTAATTTATTGAAAACTAATAACTCAAAAAATCAGTAAAAAAATACGCTTTCCGAAGTGCAGTAGCTTTTTTTATATATTTCGAGACATAACATTAAGAAATAAAAGAGAAAAAGTAAAGAAATGAAGCAGGTGTGGCGTTTTATCTTTTTGCCAATTCTAAGCATCTAAATCACTGCTTCTCAACTGGGGCGATACAACCCCCCTGGGGTCGGCGAGAGTATGCTGAGGGGCGTTGGGTATGTTTTGGGCGGTAGGGGGGCGATGAGAATGTTTTGTCATTCAAACTTAATTTTAAAACTCCCAAATAAAATTATTAAATTGAGATTTACTTAATAAATAAAATTAATCCAAAATTAATATTAAAGAAAAAAAGATTAAATTAATATAATAAATTAGGATTATCTGATACACCATTTGTGCCAGCAATAAAATGAACTTATACGATACCTATTCTCTGATTCGAACCAGCATAGCGCACCTCATGAGCCAGTAGTTTTTGCCTCTGACTCATTCAAGCCATTTGTTGGAAATTGAAGTGCATGCGCTTTTAGTATGAATGTTCGACTCTTGTTTCTGATGATGGTTTTTGCTTGCTTCTTTACAGTTTTTTTCCCCAGTTTCGATAAGATTTCATTATTTATTTGGCCAGGTATGTGGGCGAATTAGGTCTTTATAGTAAATCATTTGT